ACGGTAAGTAATTATGCAAGGGTTAATTAACTTTTATGCAAGACATGAGTTCCCTTTTAACAATCATGAATACATTCACTGAATTATCATCACAAAATTATTTTCACAAATTCGTCACTTATTTCAACGTTTTCCTCTATTTTTTGATTAATTTTTATTTCCCATTATAGGCAGAAAATGCTATCAGTACTTTTGTATTTATTCTGAAATCTTTACCATTTTTGTTTTGATAAAAAGAGTTCCTTTTTATTTTATTTTTTTTCATTTTTGTGTAATTATTATGTTTTGTGGTTTCACAACTTCTCATTCGAAACCACAAGTCAATTGTTGGGCACAGTGAGTGTATAGGGAACAGAAAGTGAAAGCCTCCCTAGCTTTGTGAAAAATCTCATAGTAGGTATGAATAGAATGACAATCACATGCCATGGTAACATATGTTGTCCTTCATGTATTTCCACGGAAACATGTAATATTTCAGTATTATTTTGAATTTCTGCAAATGATGTACTATCTTGATGATCAAAATATACCAATTAACCCTTTGACTGCCTGATATTTTTCCCGCCCAAATTCAGAGCATATATTTTTCTTTTTGTAAACAAAATTTCATCATCATTTTGATCCATGTGGACAATTTCAATATTGCTTTCAGTTATTGTATAATTTGTGAACCCCACAACAGATAGGCATTCTGGTATGCAAGCTTTTAATTCCGTTAAAATACCTGAAAAGCAAAGAATCAAAAATAATTGAAGGTTTTTTAAAATAAATATTTACTAACAAAGTTTAGGTTCATGCGTTGATTTCATAAATTTAAATTATGATTTGCATAATCATTGACAAGCATTTTTACTTCATTATATTCAAATCAGGTACACACAAGGGAGATGGAAGTTCATTTCAACATGTCATCTGCTTAAAACCTCTACAGAAAGAGACGCAGGCGATGGGTTAAATGCATGTACATATAATTAGCACAATGTTTGAAATGTATTTGAGAACTTGAAGAGAATTCCCATGATACCACTCTGCACATATTAAATTTCGCTAACTTTGCTGTTAACTACTTCTCATTGTGTGCGAGATAGATTCTGGTCATGTCTCTGGTTTGTACGTGCACGTTATTCACAACACTAATCAATAGACATGCTACACTGTCTGATTACGGCCGGCATATGCTTCGTTTCACATCCCAAGCAATCAAGTGTAAAAAGATAGCAATAGAGAACAAGTGCAGGTGAACTAAATGAAGAAATAAGAGCTCTCATACATCTCACAAATTCTAGAAATATATATCTGACAAATTTAAGAAATAAATACCTGGCAAATTCTAGAAATATATATCTGACAAATTTAAGAAATAAATACCTGGCAAATTCTAGAAATATATATCTGACAAATTTAAGGAATAAATACCTGGCAAATTCTAGAAATATATATCTGACAAATTAAGAAATAAATACCTGGCAAATTCTAGAAATATATATCTGACAAATTGAAGAAATAAATACCTGGCAAATTCTAAGAATATATATCTGACAAATTGAAGAAATAAATACCTGGCAAATTCTAGAAATATATATCTGACAAATTGAGAAAATAAATACCTTGCAAATTCTAGAAATATATATCTGACAAATTGAAGAAATAAATACTTGGCAATTATTGAAATATATATCTGACAAATTGAAGAAATAAATACCGGGCAAATTCTAGAAATATATATCTGACAAATTGAAGAAATAAATACCTGGCAAATTCTAGAAATATATATATCTGACAAATTGAAGAAATAAATACCTGGCAAATTCTAAGAATATATATCTGACAAATTGAAGAAATAAATACCTGGCAAATTCTAGAAATATATATCTGGACAATTATTAAAATATATAACTGGCAAATCAAAGAAAGATGATGTGTAAAACTAGAATGAAATGCAAGGCCTTTACTCGGTGTAAGATCCTCATTACTAGGTCTCTCAAGCCTGAAACATTATCTCATTGAAATGCATGTAATTTGAGGAAAAATAAAGAATTTAACACAGACATTGATTAGAAATTTAGTCACTTTACCACTTAATTAAAATTGTCAATTGCAATCAGAACAGGTGCTAAAAGCGAGGCTCATTAAACATAACTGTCAAACACTCTAGAAAGGAGGGCGCAACTACATTTGACTAAAGTACATTGAACTGCAATTTTCAAATCACTGGGGTTCTTACAACTATCACATTTCGACAAAACAACTATGGCAATTAATTTTGGTTATACATTGAAAATATACTAGTGTAATCCAAGACAGATTAATTTACAAACAAAATAGTCTACATTCACCCTGTCCTTTTCAAACAACACAACAACATAATTAATAATTTCACCTCATCATTCACATGTTGATGTTACAATTCTAAATACACATTGCATTATACATTGTACCATCATCAGAATATTAAAAAAGACATGCAGTCATGTAGTTTTTTTATTTATAGTTTTTTAACACGTAATATTAATAAAGTACCAGCATAATGAATGTATTACTTTTACATCCAAACACATAACAATTAACACCCAAAAGACGACTCACAGTGACAAAAAGTCACTGGTACTTATTTTTATTATTACTTGAAAATTCATTTGAATCAATAATATTTTTTCCTAATTTTTCATCAGGATTTCATCATCAAATACTGTAGAATACTTTATTTTAGCTGGATTTAATTTTCGCTGAAAAGACTTTTTGTGTGTTTTGTATGGAATTTAATTTCACTGTTCAATGTAAAATATAGGAAAAAAGGTACATTTGCTGGATTTTATTTTCACTGAATCATTCTTTCAGCGAAAAATCAATTGCAAGCGAAAAAGAAACTACTTTTAAATACTTTAGTTTAGATGGTTGGAATTAATTTTCGCTGAAAACAACTTTTGGGTGTTTTGTATGGAATTTATTTTCACTAATTTTTGACGAGTTCAATGTAAAATATATAGGTAAAAAGGTATATTCCCTGAACAAGTTGTGAAACACGGCACCGAGTAAATCGACACCCTGTCGGTTTCAAATGTCGATTTCTACCTTAAAATGCGAAAC